TTGCTGGTGGAAACGTGAACCGCGCACACTTCATAAATTGATGCGTTTTTTTTTTAAATCGAACATAGGGAAATTACATTGCATACAAAAGCGTATGTTCGCATTAAAAAAAAACTCACTGTATATGTTATGCTTGTTACGGTAACCTCTACGGAGGTTCTCCTGTGCAAATGTCATTTCTGCCTGAAACACGGTGCTATGGCGACAAAGCTGATGTCAGCTCTCGGTCGATCATCATATATACCCCTTGATGCCCGTTCCCCTTTCCGTTATGGACGTCTGTAAACCACACGAGTCTCTCAGGTTTGAGGAACGGGTGATCTGAGTTTAGCCACTGCTCCCTGTCCGGAATGCATTTAGGCAGAACGTACCACGTATTAGCCATACGACCAAATTCGGTCGCTCTGATTGGAACGTGAAGAAACGAGGTACGTATTGCCTAACTAGGTTCCAGACGTGGTACGGTTTGTCCGCGCAAACGTTGTACTTTTTGCCTGCATTGTGTAACCGGCTGGTTACTTTCCAACTCTCTTTACAGTCTCTTCTTAGAATACCTTATTTGGGGGTGGTCCTTCTTATAAACATTAAGGGTTGTTGGGCGCCGGCTAGCTTCAGTCAATAATTCTTCTGGCCTCAAGGAGAGGGGAAAGGATAAATGAATAAAAATCAATAATCTTGATTTCTTCTTTTTGTCTTAGAAATCGCCTTTTATCTGTAAGTAACACATATTAAAAGAAAAGCAGGTGAGGCGGTGCTCTCCTGTGAAAATAAAGTTAACTCATTCATACACAAAAAGTCACTGCATATAAAGGAAAATATGTATTTGTTACATGAATTAAAAATCAAAGTATTTACTCTCAAAACCGCCGAGTACAGAAAGAAACTTAATTCGTATTTCATAAATTCTTATTCAATTTAATCGAAAGTCCAAACAAAACCGCTGTAAATGCGTGTAGTAACGCTTTCAGGTTCGAGTCGTTTAAATGAATACAAACAGTGCTGATAAGCACTGAATTGAACGCAACACTAGTAGGTAATTTAAATCGCCTTTACAAACATACCAATTTATAATAGTTTTGTAATAATAAATAAATGACTACACTATAATACATCGACCATGAGGCGAACTACAATGAAAAATACCACAACGAAATAATAAATCGACAATGAGGCGAACTATAACGAATTATTGTCTATAAATACCTCTAGTTCATAAGTGCACCAGGACTTTGTTGCACGATAGATGTGGAAGTCGAATTCGGACCGCCCACTGCAGGCTGCTATTCGCTTTTGAGCTGGACCAATCACAGGCAGGCTGGTTTATCTTGGTCTTAGTTTGGTACTCTCCAGCTGGATTGCGCACGTACCGACAACAACGGAATCCTTGCCTTGTTACGACGACTAGGAGAGGGGTTGCAACTTCCACCCCACCATCCACTAGCGCCCTATTGGCCGCGTCGCCAGACGCCTCTATCGGAAATCGTTTATAAGCAGCGCACCGACAGGGGAACTTCACTTGTGCCTGGGCAAGCCTACCTTACCCTACACAAGCGACTGAGGCTGGTCGCTTGGGCTCAAGTACCGTCTCCGCACGCGATCACTTCCCGGCTTGACCGTAGTCAAGTCCGGCGCCATCCCACGTGCCAGAAGCGATCTTATATATGTACATATAGCCTCTGTATTATTTGTAAATATTGTGTAATATACGTTTTCAACCTCCGTTTGCCACTTACGTTACCCCGCCTGGTAACAATTGGCGCCCATACGTGTGAGTCAACCAGCAGCATCGCGCTCTGAGGATCTACGCCCACGCTCCCGCGACAGCCGACGCGCAACACCATGAATACGAGGAGCAGGAACACCCCGACGTCCAACTCCGGCGCCGACGAAGGTATCGACACTCAAACAACGGAGATGACCCCGGCAATCAACCCCGGTCTGGACCCGGCAACCCCGTCCAGTGGCGCCCAACACTCTCAACACACCCTCGACATGCTAAAGGCGCTGACCGACGCCCTCCAGAACGCGCAGAAAACCGCATCACCGGACCTACCGACCTTCAGCGGCGACCACCTGGAGGACCCAACAGTCTTCTTCAGCACGCTCGAGCAGACAATCCAAACCACCGACCCGGCGGAAAAGTTAAAAACAGCAGCAGCACAACTAAAAGGGGAGGCTGCGAAATGGTGGAACAGTTACGAGGCATTTTCACCGACATACAACGACCTAAAGAACTACACCCGCGAAAAATACGACAGCAGCAAGATTCGCGGGAAGATGCAATCAGAATTCTTCGGCCGAGAACAAGGAGCAGAGTCGCCGCAGCAATTCCTCCAGAGGAAGGCACAGCTAGCAAAACGGCTGAAGATCCCGATCGGCGAGCACCTCGAGCTACTGAGAGACCTGCTGCACCCACGCATTAGAGTAGCCTTTTTAACCACAACACCCACTTCACTCCTCGACTTGGTGCGTCACGCCGAGGAAATCGAAAACTGCAACAAAGCGCTACCTCGAAACAACCAACCCAGACCATCGCCACCAACCCCCGCCGACAGACCTCCCAACACACCAAAGTGCCACCACTGCCCGGAATATCACTTCCACCGAGACTGCCCAGTACTGACCCGCCGCCGAGACCAGGGAAACGGGGCAGCGGTCGGGAACAATGCCCGGCCGTCCACCTAATCCAGACTGCGACCCGACCCAACCTACCAACGCTGGCAGTCAAGGTACGCGGAAAAAGCGTAAGAGCTCTCCTCGACTCCGGATCATCCCATAACTTCATCCAGAAGGAGCTCGCGTGGAAAATCCACCATAGCAACCACCAAACAGCCGGCCTAGCGAACCCCGCCATCAGCTGGAAGTCATCGGCACATCCAGAGTCGAGTACACGCTCAACGACAAGCAAGAATCGGACGACTTCCTGGTGACACCAAACCTTGTCGTGCCCATGATCTTGGGACAGAAGTGGCTCCAAGAACATCGAGCGGTGCTGGATTACGAGAGAGCGTGCATCCACTGGGGAACCCATACAAGGCAGACAACACACTGGGACCAAGCTCCGAACCGCGGCCCAACAACGAGCGACTCCATAAACTTCGCCGGAGTCAAGCACGGGTTCCAACCACCACTCGATCGACGCCTGGCCACACTGCTGGAAACTTTCGGTAGCACACTGGCCGATCCTGCAACGCCCACAACAACAGCATCCACCACACATCGCATCCGAGTCACCAAAACAACGCCCTTCCGCCTTCCGCCATATCGACATTCGCCAAACAAAAAGAAGGTCATCGCGGATGAAGTGGAAGCTATGTTAGCAGCGCAGGTGATCGAGCCCAGCACGTCCGAATATTGCTCGCCCATCGTCATAATTCAGAAAAAAGACGGCCGCCCGAGATTCTGCATCGACTACCGTCGTCTAAACGCCATCACAAAAGACGAGAGCACCAACCTGCCAGTCATACAGGAGACCCTCCGAGACCTGGGGACGGCCGAAGTTTTTTCCAGCCTGGATCTCAAATCAGGCTACTGGCAGGTGCCGCTAGAGACGGAATCCCGACATCTCACCGCGTTTTCAACCCCTGATGGAGCGAGTTATCAATTCAAAGTAATGCCGTTCGGGCTCAAGAATGCACCTGCTACGTTCCAGAAGCTAATGACCCAGGACGTTCTCGCCGGGTATTTACGGAAATTCGTCATGGTATACCTGGATGACATAATAATCTACTCAGACTCCTGGGACGAGCACCTCAAACATCTACACCTCGTGCTGGAACGACTGCAACGCCACAAACTCGGCTTGTCCCTCGAAAAGTGTCGCTTCGGGGTGCAAACGATCCAATACCTGGGCCACAACATCACGGCGAACGGGAACCGCCCGTGCCAGGAACACATCGAAGCAATCCGGACCGCAGACCGGCCCACCTCGAGGAAGAAGCTAAGAAGTTTTCTAGGATTGACCAACTGGCTACGAGAGTACGTGCCCCGGTGTGCCGAATTACAAGCACCGTTGGATAACTTACTAACAAAGAACACCCCTTTCCGATGGACAGCGGCAGCCGACGTCGCCTTTAGCCAGTTAAAAGCAGCACTTAGCAAACCACTCCAACTCAGCCGTCCGGACTTCGCCACTCCATTCGTGCTGCAAACCGACGCCAGCGAAAACGGGATTGCGGCCGTACTCTTTCAAGAACCCCACCCCGGAGAGAAAAAAATTATCAGCTACGCCAGTGCCAAACTTAACCACGCGCAGAGACGCTACCATATCAACGAACAGGAGTGCTTGGCAGTAGTGTGGGCCATTAAACGATACCGGCCATATCTGGAAGATAGACGTTTTACGTTGAAGACAGACAGCCGTGCTCTCCTGTGGCTGGATCGCACAAAAGACGAAAAGAGCAAGCTAACTCGTTGGGCATTACGGCTCCAAGAATTTACATTTGATGTGGTCCACTGTCCGGGGAAAGAAAACGAGCTTCCAGACCACCTGTCCCGCCACCCATCAGCAGAAGAAGCCGAAGAAGCCACGGCAGAAGACGTAAACCGCATGCTGCCACCTACGACCACACACGAGTCCAAACAAACCAACAGCTCCCCGGTAATCGCGGCAGTGGAAGTGGCCAATTTGGCGGACCATGTGAAGGAGTGCCAAAAGACAAACGAAAACGCCATCGTTCTGGTACGCACCTGGCACAGGATACAGCAGGAAGGACCAGCGACACCAGCACAAGCAAGGTTCAACCGGGATTACACGGTGGACAACGGTTACCTCTACCGCAAAGCACCCCAAGGGAACCTACTCGTAGTCCCCGGCAGCCTTCAACCAGCGGTACTAGAAGCGTACCACAACGCAGCCACAGCTGGACACCCAGGAGCCGAAGAAACGGAACGG